CTAAATTGCATTCTATGTTCCACTGACTTTTATGTCTGATTAGGTGCTTCACCCAGTCACCCACAGAATCATTTGAGGTGCTGCAAATGGACATTGCCTGGAATCCAACTGAAGCTCCAGACAGCTAGGGCTATTTTATAGAGCCTGTATCACATATTCCAGGCCTACACAGATGTCTCAGATATCTCAATTTCAACATGAGGGAACTGATGAGTTCTAAACGTCTACTGACATGTAAATAGACATGTAGTTGTCTATATTTGAACTTTAAATCTGCCCCATTCTATGGGTTACTGGGGTCAAGGAGAGGAAGACTCAGAAGACAGCTGAGTGACAAAAAGTCACTTTACTCATGGAACAAGCCAGGGCTACACTGACACTGAGAGGACTCCACATTTCAAGTTCTATAGATCTGCCATAAAACTAAGATCCTCCAGAGTGATTAAAGGCAAGAATTCCTGTGTACTCGAGGAGAGCAAATCCTAGGAATGGCATCTGGGAGAGGACAGTCTTCAGATAAACTTCAGCTAATAAACCTCCAGAACTAGTGAAAAATGAAAGAAAAGAAACAAAGGAAGAAAGAGAGAGAGAGGAAGGGAGAAAAGTCAAAACCTAACTAAAAACTAAAGTCAAAACAGTCAGCTAAGGGGAATTGAGATGGTAGTCCATGTCTAGCACTGAGAAGCCAGGTAAATACTTCTGCAGGTAAGTTCACAGCATGAACAAAAACACAGAAAATTATTAGAAGGTAAAGAAATGCATATGTAACTAAGATAATAAGTGGAAACTCAAGACATCTATAATCAGTTTTTAGATAAGTCGCAAACTCTGTGAGACCTGTATAATTTAAGATTCAGCTGCCTAATCATCACACTCTAGAGCCATCTGAGGTGCTCAGTGACATCCCACCCGAACTTCAGCTGCTAATCATGAAGGGTCTGGCTGTCTCTGGTCCTCAGTAATATGTCAGCCTTGTCTAGATCTCCTGGATTCCCTACTGTATTTCAATTGGTACTAGGCACCTATATTTAAGCAACTACATTGATCTGTTAAACATTATGTTAGTAGGTACTTTAAGAATTACTACCTCATCTCAAATTTATAATCAGTTTTAAAGTCCACCCTGTAGTCACTCTATGCCTCAGTTTCCCCACAGTAAAAAAAGAATACTTAGGCAATACTTAGGATCATCAGACAACGCAAGCCACTTAATGCCCTTAGTTGAAGGGGAAGAGAGGCATATCTGTTAACAGCAGCAATCAAAGTCTACAGTCTAATGCAAACATTAACTGTTAATAGTGAACAGTATTTTAGAATGCCAAAAATATAATAAAATGCTTCATATTTTTCTGTTAATTCATTTTTATGATGTGGTCCCTGTTTCTATCATAGTGTGTTTTATAAATACATTTAAGAGACATTACTTTCATCAAATTGCAATCTTAAGTGATAAAATTTCAGAATATCTTACATGATTAGGATAACCTATAAATAGATAGTCATATGCAGTCCTTAATCAGAAGTAGTCCTCACTGGGCAGTGATTTGATTGAACTGCTTTTATCTCTGTGCATCCAGAATTGAGTCTTTGATGAAGCTCCAGAGTTGTAGAAAGCTGCATGCAACCATTTAGTGACCTTGCACATTTATATATTTACATCTGTTTCTCTGTAATTCAACTTTTTTTTTTCTCAGCATACTAAGTGAGGCAGGCCTGCAAGTCTGCATAAATTTATAGCTTGTCCATGGGACCAATGCATCAAAAAGATGGATAGGTTTCATTATGGCTTATATCTAGTTTATATAGTGTGATTTATGATTGATCTAATTGTTTTCTTGCACTTCAGAATTATTTTACCTACAAAATAGCCTTCATGTTATGAAACTGCAATATCATCTGCATCTTCAGAGTATCTGCACAAAGTCACTACAAATTTTTACATCTGAAGGACACTGCAGCCTATTACACAACAAATTATCAAAGTTAATGATTGCATATTCGTATACATATTCAAGTATGATACTATTACAAGCACGTGTGAACCAAGCCTTGGGATTGAATCTGCCTGGGGCCTACTAAATATTATGGAAGTGTCGTTCCTGCACGACATTAATAGTAGATAGAAACTGCACTTGCTATGTGTGCAAACATGCTGTAATTAGAAATAAAGCAGTTAATGAAATAATACTAATTTTTTAATATTATGTTTCAACATATTTTTAAAACACCATATTCATAAAGCATTTAAAAATATTAATACTGTAAAGTTTATATTAGGAAACAACCTGATTCCTATTAAGTCCACATACTTCAGGTAAGATAAACAAATCTCCCTAATTCTAAGTACAGTCTGGTGAATAACTTTCCTAATGCCCAAGGGGACTAAACATAAAGAGTTAATTTCCATGATCTAATGAATAATTAACCATGAAATCTTTTTATCGGAAAACCACTTTTTTATTAAAATGCTAATTTAATTAATAGAATTTTGCTGTTTAGAGTAGTATATATAGAATATATTTGTTCTCAGATGTATGTTATTCCATGGACATTAATTATAACATTGTGATATTCTCTCATCTGTTCTGAACATCTAGTAAGACCTGTACTACTAAATCATACTTAATAGGAGTGTGATGGTTGTTGCTTAGGCAACAGAATGAATAAATGCAGGTCAGAATGTGCTTCCAGAAAAACAAAAGCAGGAATATAGTAGAGAATGAATAAGAAATATGTCTTAACTGATTTTTACTGCACTGAAGTATTAGATTTCTTCACTGTAAAGTAGCTAACCTATCTGAAACATTTAATTTAATAAGATTGAAAACTCTAGCTTAATATGTAAACCACTGTAATAAAGGTAAAGCATTTCTGTCATATTAAGGAAGATTACAACACATTGAAGTAATCTGATTTTTTCTCTTAGCATAGCAGGTGTTTCTTCTCTCATTTTCCTATATACTTTCCGAGTTTAATTTTCTCTTTAACATTTTGACTAGAATGGAAAATAATTTCTCAAGCACTCATTTAAATTTTTCAAAGGAGGTTTTTCTTACATAATGCTAATATATTCAAAGGAATAATATAAAAAGAAATCACTGTTTTTTGATAATTCTTATTTCCAATAAAATATGGGAACTATAAAATTTCTGGTACAAACAAAAACTGAAATATGTAACAGCAGGATGAACAGTGTGAAATCAATAAATTAGGAACTCTTGGATTATTCCATTCACACATGTATGTTATGTCAATTCATATTAAGAGTAATTAAGTATTTTACCTGCAACATATATTTAAAAACAAAGCACTTCAGAAAAGGTTAAAATTATCAGAAAACACTGGCTAACAGATAGGTATGCAAGCATAACTTACTCTCTCTGATACCTTAAAAGTTTGATTTCTATACTGAATAATAACATCTTGTATATAATTTGTATGTTTACATAAGTATACTAATAAGAGACATAGGAAAGTCTTATGAATTCCCAGAGAATGTGGTTCAGGCCCCTCCAGAGTCAGGGTATGACTGAAAAGCCCTCCAGGGTAGTTTATCTGGCTTCTCTTGTGCTCATAATCTACCTGTGGTAGGTGTACCCCTCTGCATTTGCTGTGCCACCTACAGCCTCTTGTGAAAAATTTCCTTCTGTAACCTCTTTAAGACTAAATGGTCATCTACTTATGTAACTAATGCTACAACACATATGAGAATATGTAGTTACATTTTGGGAAACCGTAGCATGAAACACATCTTGGATTTTATTTTTTTTCACATTGCTGAGCACGGCTTTGTTTTCAAGAATACTTAAAGGCAAAGATTCTAATGATTTTTAATGAATAAGCAAATGATCACATGGCAGCCATGTAAAAACAGGAAGAAACCTCTGCACTATTATTATGTGGAAATGACAGTGATACGTGCCTTAATTTTCTGATCAGTAATGGCATATAATGTTGTTCACAAAATAATTTAAATAGGAAGACTACAACTCATGTGATGATTTTATAGTCATAATTCATGCTGTTTCACTTCTGTTTCTTATATGATGTGTGCAAGTTATGAAAAGTTAGAACTGTTCCAACATATACATGGTTATTAAAAATATCTTTAAAAGGTATTTTAAAAGATGTTTTAGGGTCTGCTACTTTATAAGAAATGCAGTCAGGATTTTTGGAAGAGGTTGAGATAATGGGAATACTGAAGCAGATAGAAAAGTGATTATATAACAGCCTTACAAGTAAGCTTCTCGCTTTACTGTCAATATTCATTACAATTGAAAGTTTGTGCATGACAGATCTCTGTTACTTTACACCACATGGTGATACTGTAAATCTTGAAGTACCTAACATTTCATTTCATTCAAATATTCCTGATAAATGCCTACAGTTAAAACATGAAAATGGAACAATTAATAGGAATGCATTACTTTTCCTCCCAGGGCATAAGTTTCAACAAGTGAATCCCATAGCCTGACTATCTAAGATGCAAAAATATTTAACTGAGACATTCAGAATCACTTGCAGAGAGAGCACACTTCATTAAATAATTTTCTGTTATTAAAATACCTCTCAAGACAAGAATGGCATTGCATGTTATTTAATTATCATTGCAAGTTAATGTTGAAATAAAAGTAAGAATGTGATGTAGTGCAGAAAGGGGTGCTTGCAGCTTTTACATACTATGAAAATCCTTCAATGGATTAAAAGAATGGTGCATTTTTCTTCTTTAATCTGAAGATTTATGAGGGAGAGAAAGAACCTTAATATTCAGTTTTTATTTTACCGTATTTCAGGCTAGAATATTTTGTAATGTGTACAGTTTGGAAGTTTATACAAGGACAATTTATATACTAATTCAGCTACACATAGAAAAGTGAAACACCAAACAGATCTCAGTGCAATGCAGAATAGCTTTAAGGTTTTTATGAGCACATAAGAGACAGACAAAAAAAGGCAGAGCTACAGTGTATATACACAGCTATGCACAGAAGATTTCTTACCATAAATTGCACATTGTCAAATCCATTAGCCAGCAAGTGGTTTTCATACTGAGGTAGCCCAATATTTTCCAACCATTGTCCCACTGTCTGGACAGGGCATCGGGGTCCTGTAGGAGGGTGAAGAGGGAGGCGTTTAAGCAACGAATAACCATCCACCGGATAATAGCGGTAGTCCTGGGCTGAGAGGTGGCATTGCCACATCGTGTTCCTGGAAAAGTTGGTATCAAACGAGCCCGCCAGCTTGACAGATTAATGTTTCCAGCAAGCAGAAAAGTCAGAAGTAAAACATAGTTTTCAGGGCAGTATATAGCGTAAGATCTGATCGCAGCTCTACATTTCTTAGTTATTAATCTTTACTACAGACCAGTACGTCATACAGTAGGGAGGAAAAAAAAAAGCATATCAAGCTGTCAGCTAAGCTGTTCTCCGTTATATGCGATTGTTGGAATACTCCACAATGAGCAATGCACTGCCAGCAGCAAGAATTCTTTTTATCAAGTACTCCTACACTCATCAGTATGCATCCCCATGCTTCTTGCTCCCCCTCGCTCGCTCCCCTTCATTACCCAGCCTAGGCTACACCTCGCATTTTCAATAATAGCCATCAGATAAGGCAGATTTTTTTTGTCTGCAAGCTGTAAGCCTGCTGCTGCTGCTTCCTCCTACACACCCATCCAAGCGTCAATCTTGAATGATGAGAGCAGTCAAAACAAATGCAGAAAATAGCAAGATTCAAAAGCAACCTAGAGCACTTAAATCTGAATAAAATCTTCATACCAGTTACGCTTTACATATCTGTTTGTTGTAGATTTTTACATTTCACAAGACATTAAGAAATGTAATATATAAACCATAGCCTATGGCATGGTTTACTATATCTTCCCCTTACCCCTTTTAATATAAGATAGGTAGTGGTCTGCATCTCTGCTTGTATAATAGGAAAACCCTTTAATGAATCAATAATGAATACATTTCACAGTTTCTCTCCTGTAGTACAGCAAAACACATAAATGGCACAACAATTTTAGTCAAAGTAATTAGATTATCTGCATGATTTCTTCAACCATAAAATATTATAAGACACAAGAAAACCTTCATGCCGACATATAATAATTCAACTTGAAAAGGTCACCATTTCAAATGAATAATTAA